ATAAGGGGTTTTGACATGGTGTGATATTATGGTTGTATTTGGATCAATAAGTGGGGGAATAAACTTCCCAGGGTGATATGATGATGTTTAAGGAGGATGAATTGCACGAGGGTTTATCCCGAGGAAGTGCAATTATACGACTCCTGATTTACCTATGTTGAGCCAATTATGGCCAGGTCAAGTACATGTGCAAGTAATTAATTATGATTAAGCAAGATGAGATATGAATCATGTATAAGGATACTAAATATGAGTGTTGTGGTCTCACGGTCAACTACATAGTAATTAGGGCTCCCTATGCTATTACTCTATTATGATATGTATGATAGTCACACCTCTTACGTGGTGGTGACTGAAGAATTCTTATGAGATATGAACACACCCAGAGTGGTGTCGGGGTATGACTACACCCATAGTGGTGTGGAGTATGTATGACCACATCCGACGGGATGTTGGGGTATGTATGACTACATCCGACGGGATGTGGGGTATGTTTCCCGGGAGAGTTATTGGCATGGGAGTAGCCAGGCGCCTATGAGTAAAACATGATAAGATGCATATGCATAAGTCAAGGTGGTTGAGTCTTTTGCCTATTGGGATGTCGGAGGGCTGAGATCCGATCCTAGTGTTTTGGCTTGATTGTTAGATGTATGATAGGGGTATGCTCTGTTATGAACTCACGATGCTATGATTATCTCACTCAGCTATGAGCTGACCCTCTTTTATTCTTCTTCTCTGCTTATGCTATGTGTAAGCAGATCATCTTTAGCAGCAGTAGATAGGTGTATAGGTGGGAGTTGAGCAAGAGTTGAAGGCAAGATGAGGTATGGTCTTCAACTATTCTGTGTTGGACTACTACTCGGGATTTTGGCCAGTGATCCATACCTTTTTGTAAAAATATTTTGAGAACGTTTTTCATGTGCATACTAGCCTCTGATGTAGTGTGAGATATCCACAGGTGTGGAAAGTTGATGATATGTGTATATGTTGTGTAACTGTGTAAATTGTGAAGATTATGGTATGTATAAGTTTGGTATGCAGTTGTGTAGTATGAAAAGTGTGACTATGGCTAAGAAAAGCCAATGCATATGGTTGTTAGTATATATGTTTGTGATGAATTATTTTGCAGGATAGGTTGCAAGAACTGTTAGTGCATTAAGCGAGTAATTCATGTCGAAATTTTATTTAGGTAAATTTTGATAATTAATGTAACACCCGAGATTAATTTCGCTGCAATTGTATGAACAATATGATTAGGAAAAACGTATAGGGTAGGGTGTTACAGAAGGTGTTAGTGGAGGTGATTCTGTGGACGGCGATGTGGAATGGAGTGGGACTCGTGAATAATTAGGGAATGGCAAGACACTAAGATTTTGATGTATTTGTTTTTTCCCAAACAATCAAAGAGCTGGAGTAGTTGCTGCTAGGTGTTTTTGTTTTTGTCACATTTTCTTTTGTTCTAATCGATCGTTACTACATTGGAATTTCCAAATTTGATTTTTGTTTGCTCGTAGAACCACTATGTTGTATTTGTGCTTGTTATCCTTGTTTGCAGTTGCGATGGCAGCAGTCTCAATGGTTTATGGGTATGCTGTCCAACTAGACAAGCACTACCCACTCCACAAACTATCACTCAACGAAACCACCCAGGTTTGGATAGACCTAGCGAAAGACCCGCCACATTACAACTTCCAGCAGACCACTGCACATTACAACCTATCTTTCGTAAATAGAAGAAAGAAAAACATAAGATAAAAGAAGGAAGGAGAACACAGAAGCAGAACCGGAAAGAGCAACCAATCCCCTGCTGCTCGGTAGTTCATCGATTGCCACAGGGGAAATAGTCAAATGAACCTCTTAAGCCTCATATAAAATCTTCATGCATATGAAAATCATCCAAACCCACCTTATCTTTTGATAAAATTTGAGCAATCTTTTATATCTTTTGATAAAATTTGAGCAATCTTTTAACAAAAGAAAGAAGTAATCATCAATCCATCCCGTACCCAACAAAATCGAAGTAAATTTAAAAAGAGTGGGAGAAATCACTAAAGCACTCCTCTACATAGAAAAACGTTACTTACACAAAAGTGTAAATAGGCAAATGAAAAGTCCACTCTTGACTCTGTTACCTTGGTATTAAAAGAATGCTTAATCGGCAATAGAATTCAATGTTTAAAGAAGAGAGCTAAGGTCGATGTCATCTTTCCTTTCCAGAATCCACAAAACAGTACACAACTCTTTTAGCCGATGGGTCAAGGTAACTAAAAGACCATAGTAAGTACTTAAAATCTTAAGTTGCTTCGGTGAGGGTTGACGAACCCATATTATATCACAACTTCAACATTCACCAACAGGGTCAGCATTGGGTCTGCCTTTACTTCTTCCCTATTCTGGCTCTGTGAAGAACTTGACAGCAGCATCCATCGCTGCCGTTACAAAAGACTTTGTCCGGCTGCGACATTTCACATCCAAGAACTACAATGCAACTTACATGTTCAAGGAGTATGTAGTCATTGTGACTTCAGACACTATGACCATTCCTTCCATTCCTTCAAACAACTCAGTGGCATTCGTTAACAACATTGAAGTTGTTTCTATACCTGATGTGGTTCTCCCTGATCTTGTGGTTTGCACTTGAGGCTCGTGAATGAAGCCTTTGCAGGCTTAATCGCAGCATAAGTTGCCTTTCATCCTTAGTCTGCCTGCAGAAGACGGCCAGAAGAAAATTGCACATCAGAATAATATCCAGCACAAATGCAACAAAAAGAACACAAATCCAAATGAGAAAATATGTTCACATTGAGAAAACCTATTATCCCATCAAGGACAACAATAATTAAACAACTCAGAAGTGGAAATGCTATTAAGTATAAACACTGTTACATTTTGCCTCAATAAAGAACCATGGACCAACAAGCACAGAAATCACAATTCCATTTTCCAGACAATGCATGGGAAGTGTGATATCACAACAGTCATATTGTACTGGACTGGGAAACAAAAAACAACTCAGCAAATCAGTTCCTCTGAATACGCATACGCATCAGATCCTTACCTCTTTTTATGTTCTTCAATGACGTTAGCTTCTAACAATACCTCAGAGCCAAGTTCAGTGTACAAATCTGGTTGCTACAGAAAATAGCTGTAAATCCATCCAAATCACCCAAATGGAGAGCTCACATATATTTAGCTTGTAATGGTCCGAGCCTCTGATCACCTTAAGTATAACATAATTAGAATATTGGATATGATATAGCAAGTAGGAATGGCATAACAGACAAACAATTGATGTCTTAGCAAATCAATCATGTATGGCAATATGGCACCTCTAGTTTTAAAACATGAGAAAACCTTAAAATAGCTTTAATTTTTAGAGTCATTATCCTTCCTACCTTCCTCTACCTCTCTGGATTTTCCTCAGAACAAATCAGGAGGCTGTTGCTTCTGGTAAATTGAAGTCGAGTCTACTGTCTGTTAGAAATTGTGCCATTGCCTTCTGTAACCATGGAGGGCCTCAGAGTCTCTCACGCAGCATAACTTTTGCAGCATCGCACCATAACTTTTGCTGCATCGCAACAACCCTATGTTGGAAGAATGATTGTCACCCAAATGAAGAGATAGAAGAATTAGAATTATGCAAATATGGTGAAAAAGGTTAGTTAGTATAGGCTTACCAGTGTTGGTGGGAACTGATCTCCAATTGCCAATGCCATGTTCTTGGATGTAAGAGACCAGGATGCTGTCATCTTCAGGGTCCATGAACCTTTCTTGATCCCCTACTATGTTACTGCAAGGTGGAACCCATTTCCTCTCCTGCCCACTTTTTGGTGCAGCTTTTCGGATGAATGATGATGATCCCTCAAGCCATTCTAGATCAATAGTCAGTGGTCATCTTTAATAGGTGCCTATAAAATTTTTCACACTAATGAATGTGACAGACAACCTCAAATGCAATTCCTTCATAACTATATCAAGAGTGAACAACAAACGGCAAGAACTGAAAAAGCAATTCACATACTTTTATGGCACTGTGATCAAGTCGTTGAGCAAAGGTGTCAATACCATCCTTGGAGGATTCTTCACCTGCAATAAATAGCAGGGCATCATTTGTTTGAACTACTAAAATTCATAAAACCATCACAAATCCTACTTCATCAACCCATAAGGAGCTTGAATGACTCTTTTTGCCTCAATTTCCTGCCGAAACCCAACCATAAAAGTAACCAAGAGTTGCTACTACTGTGATTCCATGAAAGTGAGACTTGGTTATTTTTGTCTAAACCCAACAACTTCACCTAGCAGTCTTTCCGCCAAATCCAATATGAAAATCCAGAATATGCCAAACAACCCACCAATCATTATCAATTCGAACCAAATGAAGCTGAGAAAATCAATTCGTTGTTTCTCACTCCCTAATTATTTTAAATCAATAAATTCCCAGCAACTACGAAGTTCTTAGATAAAGCGTAACCCTCCAACCCACCAGACCAATTGACTAACAATCACGAAGTGGAATTTGAAAAATTGAATAAAAATTGACAATAAATTTGGTAGATAAGAGTTCCCATGTATGTTTTCCTCGTGCACAAGAAACCAACAAGCACCAAACCTCTACTAAAGTTCCCCCTCCACCGATTTGCATTCCTATAACGTAGCAAAGCTGTTGAAGAGCATTTAATTTACCCATTATGATAAAATAAAAAAAACTTCAACACACTAGAAATAAACAACGGCACAGTATATTCTCAAATAGTCCCGTTATCATCTCAGCAACGAAATGGAACTGCTTCCTTGAAAAAAGATTTAAACAAAAATACGGATTTGAATTCTGAGGAATACGTATGCAGAGATAAAATTGGAGGAGTTGATTTGGGTTAGCGTTTCCCACACGAAGTCCCTCGCGATCAGTTGCCTATGTACATGTACGCACGAAACACTGGAACTGGCAAACTGGTTTATTCTACACAACATCGGCGTAACTCAGAATAGCTGCCCACATGGACAAGGATGGGAATCACCCTAGCACAAGTGTTGGTTTCAATAGTGAGAGAGAAGACGATCGAACTGCAGAGGCAGAGGCTGCCGATCAAACGCAGCATAACGCTGATTTGAATGTCGAGAGAGAAGGGACTAGAACTTCGCCAATTGATACCAATATTTTGGAGTCAGAAACCCCTTCGAGTGGAGATGAAGAGGAGAGTGAAGTTGCATCCGGAATTCAGCATGACGAAGTCCCTTTGAATGACGAAGTCCCTTTGGAAATTTTGGAAATTCAGCATGACGACGCTTAAAATTTCTATAACATGTATGCAAGAGCTTGGGGCTTCTCTGTGAGAACTGAGAGGAAAACTGAAACCATAAAGGAGGAATAACTTCTCGGAAATTTGTTTGTTCAGCTGCGGGAACAAAACGAAAACAAGTAAAGGAACTGAAGCTAACTGCACACTTGAATACTCGATTTCATTGTCAAGCTTTCATGCGTGTTCGCTTGGACAGGTTAGACAAGTTCTTTCCATTCACAATTTCATAAAGCTAACTAGATTTACGATGGTGTTTGTGAGAATGCAGTATCCTAACATTCATACTCACACTTCCTACTGACTGAATTCATCTATGTTGCCTTGGACAGGTTAGATTCAAAATATGTTATTGATGCTTTTGATATAAACCACACCCACGATCCAGTTCGTCCACAACTAGTGCATCATATGAGATCGCATAGAGGTTTAGATGAAGCGACAAAAGCTGAAGTTCGATACCAACGAGATGCGGGCATGAAAATTGCCGACATCATGAATCAGCATGTTCAGAAGGCTGGAGGGTACGACAAAGTAGGACATACAAAAAAGGATTTGCATAATTTTGCATCCAAAGATCGAGAAGATAGGATTAGTGAAGGCGATGCTGCTACTGCACTAGCGTATCTAAAGTAAAAAAAAAATGAGCATAGACAATCACTTCATCCTCGAACTCACTTTTGATGAAGAGAAGAGGCTTTGTAGTGTGTTCTGGGCGGACAGCATAAGCGTAGCCGATATGTCATGCTTTGGGGATTTGCTTGCTTTTGACACCACATACAAGAAAAACATTTACAAATGCCACTAGTTGATTTCTCAGGTATGCAACTTTTCCATATCAAAGTCTTTCCATCACTCGACATTGATATGCAACTCAATCTTCTATTTAGCTATACATGACTTTAGTATCACTTTTAAGGGAGCAATCACCATCGCAAGAGCTGTATATTTGGATGTGCTTTATTGGCTAACGAGACAGAAAAGAGTTATGATTGGATTCTGGGGAAGTTGAAGAAAGAAATGGGAGAAAAAGAACCTCGGACAATTGTAACAGATGGTGACAAAGCGATGAAGAATCCATACATAAAGTATTTCCTGCTGCAACTCATCGATTGTGTTCATGGCATATTGCCAAGAATATTGTGAGTCGTCTAAAGAATAATAAAGCATTTGAGCCTGAATGGAAGAAGTTTGTATATGCTGATCTTAAACCGGCTGAATTTGAAGAAAAATGGGTGGAATTGGTCTCAAGTCAGAAACGGGAAAATTGTCAATGGGTCTCTGATTTATTTGATAGACGAGGGGAATGGGCATACACATACCTTCGATCTTACTTCTTTGCAGGGTTGTCAACAACCTCTAGATGTGAAGGAATCAACTCACATCTTGGAAGGTATGTAACCGATAACCACAATTTGCTTGAGTTTTTTTTATCTATTTTGATCGATGGATTGGAGAGTTGCGGGAAAATGAGGTCAGATTGGATTTTCAATCTAACCATGGTGTCCCGGAAATGAAACATCCAGCATTGAGCACACTTGAAGAAAGTGGTGCAAAGATATTCACTAACAAGATATTCCGCAAGTTTCAAAAGGAGCTTGGGATGGTGGAGGGTTGTATCAAGAGTAATCCTGTGGTAGATGGAAGTGTGCACAATTATCAGGTAAGCTTGTTTGGGAAACAGAAGAAGTTCACTGTCAGATATGATGTTGAAACCAAGAAAATGGAGTGCAGTTGTGCTAAACTTGCATACATGGGAATTCCATGTTCTCATATTCTCTATTTATTGAAAGAAGAGAACATACAACGATTCCAGAAGAGTTGGCATTAAAAAGATGAAGCAAACCTAAGACTATAGAAGTTACGCAACAACCACTGGATATCAATGACCCTTGGCCATTTAATGTTAGGTATGGGCTGCTGCAATTTTCAGCATCGCAGTTTTGCTTCCTTGGGGCAAATACAGTGGATACTTTTCAGTTTGCAAACAAGTTAATGGCAACTTCGTATGACCAGTTGAACAACATGCAAACCGACACTACTGAGAGGTCGACAATAGAGATACCAGAAGAATACAAAGCTATAAAAAACCCAATGAAGGTAGCATATAAAGGTGGTAAAACTGGAAAACGGAAGAAGTCGGACAAGAAGCATCGAAAGTGTGGTCGATGTGGAGATGAAAGGCATTATAGAAGCCCTGTGATAAGCCTGTAGGATATGTACGTCCTAAATCACCGGGGTCAGATGAGGAAAATGATGATGGAAACGAGGAACCATATTATTCAGATAAGAATGGTCCAAACAGCCCACCACGACAGGTGAATTAAATAGGCTAATTCCGTGAATTTCCGAATCTTACAATGTGTTTATTTCCATGATTTATGATATTTTTTTATAATGAATCTATAGTTTCTGATTTTAACACTAGTTTCTTTCATTTTGCTGAAGCGGTGGAAGACTAGGAGTAGTACCAAGCAGATTGAAGGTCAGTCCAATAACACTAATGGTGAACAGAACAAAGGGGTTGTTGATGGTTCACACGACGGACCTCGGAAGGTATTAGTTGTGAACAACACTACATATGAAACAAATTAAATTAATCTTCCATTTTTATTCTAACAACACTAACCTTTTATATGACAGCAGAGGAAAGTAGCTACAAATGAAGAAGAAAATGATGACAACAATGATGAAGAAGGTAGCTGGCCCCCAAAGGTCAGTGGAATGACAGTATCCAATTTCTTAATGTCTCGACCTATTCATTCTGAATTAGTGTGGTGACAAGTATGGACCTTTTTTTGTAACAGACCATGCCACGTACTAGAAGTGCCACTAAAGGTAACAGAGAGCGCGGAGAACCCAGTCAACGTGCACAAACTTGTGTGTAACCTCCAACTGATGAGCCTCCACAGGTACGTGATACAACATCATTTGTTCAAGTATAAATGATATCTGGTTTAAATGTGTGATTATATATTTTGTGTTTGTTGTTACTGACGAGACAACCTAGAGAAAATGGCAGGGGAAAGAACATCATCAACTAAGCATGAAGTTGGCCTCTATCTGTGTCTGTTTAGCTTTCTGTTTTTTTTTATGGATTTGGATTTGGAGAACAAAGATTACCACATTCATTGAAGAACAAAGATTATTGTATTACTAGATAACAACATCAGAGCTCTTGCATTTATATATGTTGCTTAGAATTAATAATGGAACATACCCGGATGGGTGGAACATGTCTGCCATACAGAACTCCCTCTTGCATTGGAGGATTGACTCGACCTGCTTCATCCACATACAAAAGCCCCTCTTGCATCCTGTAAAAGGCTAAAGTATCAGTAATTGCTGTGTAAGTAGGATAGTGTAGCAAAATTCACCTTATTAGATTCCCTTTCCTAATGCAGTATTGCTTCAATCTTTCCCACAGCAGCACTCGAACCAGCCTACGTAGTTATACAGCTTACATTGTTTCAGTGTTTTAATGATGATAACAGAACCTCTATAACAAGAACTAATGGGAAAAGCCATCCATTACCATTCACAACCAACAAGAGGTAGTAGGGACTAACTTGCAGAAACTTTTTGAAACTTCTTGTCGATTTGCAAAATAATTGCCTTGCTGCTCAAGGAACCACCATTCTGCAAGTCAATGCATATAGGAGACTCGACTTGATCCATTTTAATCAGTTGGCTGGGGAAATGACGAGAAGTTTCAAAAGAGGCACACGTGACTAAGCATTCACTAGTTCTATTCAAAAGACTGAGAAATATGTAGGATGAGCAACTCACCAGAACTGGATGTCCAATTACACTGTTCAAGACATCTAATTTACCAGCACTCTTAACAGATGACAAAAACTGTAATAAATAAATAGCAATGTGAGTTAGAAGTAAACTAAGAAAATACAAAATACAAAGACATCAATGAAATCAAAGTTCAGACAGAAATGAAAAGATACAAAAGCAAAAAGCTTCCCCTGAACCAGAGACAGACACTCGGCATATCTCCCTACGTTAAGCAACTTGGACTTGTCGCTCCAGGAATGAGCCTGACACCACACAAACACTTTCATGAGATATATTAGAGAAGAGAGGACTAGAGATAGATATCAATTACCAGGTAACTGAAAACCAAACTAATGTAACTGGTTCAACAGCTAACTGAAAAACGGTGAATAAGTTTTGTGTTCACGAGATGTTCTTGATTACTAGAATTGAGTAAGATGGTTAACACTTACCTTCATAGTTCCATATGAGTTGCTTCGTATGATCTTCTCCTTCACGTAGACAATGGAAAGCACCTCTCCATTCTCACAACAATCAACCTCAACTAGTTCTTTGTGGTTCCTCAATTCCTGGAGAGAGAAAAAGATATAAAAAAGTAGGTGAAGTGAATAGAAATTGAAAGCAACAAGAACTCACAGTATTGATGAACCAAACAGTAAAATACATTTTAGGAGGGGATAAAGTCGAGGGAAACCACTGCAGACTCCATGACAGAATTAGCTTTCTTACTACTTTTATCCATATCAATTCTTTTAACCATATTAGACAACAAGATGACAACACAACTGAAAATGAAAGTACCGAATTTCACCTATCCACCACCTACTATGAAAGCAAGTAATAAATGAACTTGAATTGGGGAAACAAAAAGGTAGAGTTGAAACTTTTAGCAACCAATTTGTGGCCATAAAATATAAGACATGAATCATAATGTAATACTAAGGTAGATTCCATTATGATACATACTTCCTCCACATATTGAGCAGACCTTAACAATTTAAGTAGGTCGTGATCAGGACCTTCATACTCGACCATTCCAGCCCTTTTTCTCCTGTGGTTTCCTTGAAGTATCAATAACTCCCCTAATAGTTTTTTGAGAATGCTTTGGTGGCTGCTTCAGACTTTTCCGTGGTAACTTTCTCAGCTAGATCCTCTACATGAGCCTATTAAGAGAAGTGACAAGGTCAAATATAACAAAGTTTATCCAC